GGTGAGAGGTCAATGGGGTAAAAAGGAGACTTATGTAATACTTTAAAAAATGGAGAACTTAGCCCTAGCTGATTTGGCTCAGTGAACAGAGCGTTGACCTGTGGACTGAAGGGTCCCAGGTTCGATTATAGTCAAGGGCACATGCCTGGGTTGTGGGCTTGGTCCCCAGTATGGGGCATGCAGGAGGCAGCCAATCAATGATTCTCTCTCATCATTCATGTTTCTCTCTCTCTATCCCTCTCCTTTCCTCTCTGAAATCAATAAAAATATATTTAAAAATAATAAAATATTAGAGTACTTGGTTAGTCAGAGCTTAACAAATGCTCCTGCATTCATCAAAGTGTCAAGAAATTAACTTCCATTGCAATTAAACTGTTAGCAAGCAAACAATATTTTTAAAGACCTGGTTCAGGGGATTAGCCTGGGATGAGCAGCTGCTGCCTATTCTGCTCCCTGGTTGCAAGTCTCTGGCTGGTTGGCTCAGTTGGTTGGAGTATTGTTTCGTACACCAAAAAGGTGGAGGTGCCCAATTCCCAATCAGGGCACATACCTGAGTTGTGGGTTTGGGCCCTCAGGGGAGGCAACTGATCAATGTTTCTCTCTCTCTCTTCCTCTAAAAATCAATGGACATATCCTCCAGTGAGCATCAAAAAAATATTTATATAGCCCAGCTGGTATTGCTCAGTGGTTGAGCATTGACCCATAAACAGGAGGTCCCGGTTTGATTCCATGTCAGGGCACATGCCTGGTTTTTGGGCTCGATCCCCAATAGGGAGCGTGCAGGAGACAGCCAATCGATGATTCTCTCATCACTGATGTTTCTCCCTCTCTGACATCAATTAAAAACATACTATATATATATATGATATATCTGAAGGCCAAGGCTTTCTAATCTCTCTGAAGTGGCTAGTTTCCCTGAAATCTTTTTAAAAAACTTTAATTTTTGTCTTTACATGTTATGAAACAGTGAAGTTCTAATTAACTAAATTTTATTACATTTGGGAATTCATATTTTAGATACTGCTCTGACATCAAAATAATACGAATTTGATACAAAAATCAATTTTTCCCCTTAGGCAAGACTTTGTTTACTGACACTATGTCAACTAGTCATGGCAAATTAAAATTTAATTTTTCAGTGCTACCTCATGTATTTTTTTGCCTCTTTTATACCAATCTCTATTTGAATATACTCCTGGAATACAAAATAGTTTTATATTACCTAAACAAAAATAGGTTATGAAAAAATGAAAATAAGTTGTATGGCATTATGAAGCTATGTAAATTTTTCCATGAGTATATGATTTAGAATTATACCCTCCAGCAGTATAGACCCTAAAATTTTACTTTTCTAGATAAAAATAGCATTAATCCCTAAGCTACAATGAAAGCCATTATCTTCAAGTCAGAAGCTTTGAAAATCTCAATGCTTTTTTGCAAATGTCATCTAACTTTTGTAAGTCAAATATACTCAAACCATGAACATTATATGAAGGTCATCAATGCAGAATAAATCAGCAAAAACTATGACTATGTTCTGTGATTTCTGAAAACTATGATAGTTACTGGGTTCGTCTAGTAGCACTAAATAATACAACATAGACCTGGGCTAAAAAGACAATGAAGTGAGAAATATACATATTGATTAAGTAGACAAATATATATATACTAGAGGCCCAGTGCACAAGAGTTTGTGCACTTGGGGGGTTGGGGGGGGCCCCTCAGCCCTGCCTATGCCCTTTTGCAGTCTGGGGCCCCTTGGAGGATGTCCACCTGCTGGCCTAGGCCTGCTCCCTGGGGGACCAGGCCCAAGCTGGCAGACATCCCTCTGACAGCTCGGCAGCCCTCGGGGGATGTCCACTTGCCAGCAGGGAGCAGGCCTAAGCTGCAGTCAGACATCCTTAGCGCTGCTGAGGAGGCTGGAGGGGCTCCCACCACCACCGCTGTATTGGCAGCCATCAGCCTGGCTTGTGGATGAGCAGAGCTCCCCCTGTGGGAGCACATTGACCACCAGGGGGCAGCTCCTGCATTGAGCGTCTGCCCCCTGGTGGTCAGTGTGTGTCATAGTGACCAGTCATTCCCAGTCTTTCTGCTGTTAGGGTCAGTTTGCATATTACCCTTATATTATATAGGATAGAGGCCTGGTGTATGGGTGGGGGCGGGCGGGTTTGCTCTGAAGGGTGTCCCGGATCAGGGTGGGGGTCCCGCTGGGGTGCCTGGCCAGCCTGGGTGAGGGGCCGATGAGTGTTTGCAGGCTGGTCACACCCCCTTCAGGGTGGGGGTCCCCACTGGAGTGCCTGGCCAGCCTGGGTGAGGGGCTGATGGCTGTTTGCAGGCTGGTCAAGTCCCCCCAAGTGGGGACCCTCACCCCATGGAGGTTTGGCCAACCTGGGTGAGGGGCTGATGGCTGTTTTCAGGCTGGCCACACCCCCTGTAGGGTTGGGGGTCCCCACTGGGGTGGCTGGACAGTCTGGGTGAGGGGCTGAGGGCCATTTTCAGGCTGGCCAAGCCCTTTGGCGACAGAAGCTCCCAGCCTCTCCTTTTTTTCTTTTTTTTGCTGGGGTTTATTTACCTTCTATAATTGAAACTTTGTTGCTTTGAGTGGAGCTCAGAGCCCAATGCGGCAAGTGGGAAGCTTGGCTTCCTCCATCATTGGGGCAACCAAGCCTCCTGCTTGCTCCAGCTCCGTGGCTGCAGGCCATCTTGGTTGGGTTAATTTGCATATAGTTGCTCTGATTGGCTGGTGGGTGTGGCTTAAGGTGTAGCAAAGGTATGGTCAATTTGCATGTTTGTCTTTTATTAATGTAGATACAGACAAAATGAAACACCATGTTAAATTTCACAGTATCTTGGGGGCTGTAGGAAAAGTTTTATTCTAATTGAAAATATACTTTAACCAAAAGAAAAACTCTCATATATTGACTATGTAAATAACTCCTATGGGAGGTACAAGGCATGACACAATACAATATTTTAGCTGCCAGTACTGTCAGTCTCAAGAGGCTGAAGGCCTAGTATATCCCTTGGAAGAAAAATTTGGCAACAGAAAAGTTTATTCCAGCCCTAACCAGTTTGGCTCAGTGGATAGAGCGTCAGCTTGCGGACTCAAGGGTCCCGGGTTCGATTCTGGTCAAGGGCATGTACCTTGATTGCGGGCACATACCCAGTGGGGAGTGTGCAGGAGGTGGCTGACCGATGTTTCTCTCTCATCTATGTTTCTGACTCTCTATCCCTCTCCTTTCCTCCTTGTAAAAAATCAATAAAATATATATATATTTTTAAAAAGTTTATTCCTTTTTTTTCCTCCAAATGTGGTTACATAAACCAGATATCCCCAAAATAATGAAGACTCATTTCACATAATTACTCTGCTTACAAGTTTTATTTACACAGTAATTGTTAATAGTGGTTTTTAGTGAATTCCTTGTATTTACATTTTATATATACATTTATACTTGAAAGGTAAAGAAACTGTACAATAATAAAAATGAGAAAAAGAAATACAGTAACTTAGGTCCAACTCAGGAAAGAAATACACAAAAGGAAGATTAAGCTCAGGCAGGTAGAATAACCTCAATGAGATTACTGCCAGGGCTTACATTCCCTCTATCAGGGTCACCAATGTGAAGGAAGTATTTACCAGAGTCAAAATGTTATTGTAAAACCTTTTATAAGACCCTGAGTACTCCCTCAATATTTTATTACACTACTAGTTTCTATTAAGGAAGCTCCTATGACAGGAATTAACTTCCGAGGGTTCCACTAATGGTCCCTAGGCTAGAATGACCCATGGGGTAGAAATATCCAGGTACATCTGGTCCCATACTCCTAAAGAGGCTGTCACTACACTAACAAGATTCTCAGGCTTGTTAGTTTGAAGATAATATACCACTAACAGAAATAGTGTGCTGTGTTGTTTCAAACCAAACTGCAACATAAAAGCACACTATAAATGTAATTATTAACCAAACAACATACTATATATCACTCATAATATTCAAGTGATTTATTTTAGGTACAAGAATTAAACATATTATAATAAATTTAATGTCAATTTACCAATAATTAATAATTTGTCTATCCACTATACCATCAAAGTTAGACTCATTAGAAAAAAGTTCACTTTATCTTTTACTCTTACTTACTTTGATTAGAAAATTATGCACAGTATTTTACAAGTCATAGACTTGGTACATATTAAGATTTCAAATTTCAAACTGAAATTAACATTTTATTTCTACAAACAGTGAAGGAATTTTAACTAAAAAATATCAAGTCTTGCCAAGAACTGTCAGAATTCATACTTTTTTACTCTTACCAGTGGGAAAAAAAAATCTCATTTACATTTATGGACTTACTCCCCAAATCAAGTCTTCAGTCCACTAAAGTGCAAAGATTCTACTAATTAGCTTTCTTAAATTACTAGATGAACAATTTTTTAAACTAGAAACAGAAAGGCTAAATTTCTTTAATAGGGATTACTTAAGGGAAAAAAACAATTCTCTTTAAAAAACAAATAGACATGATACAGTGGAAAAACACATGCAAATCAACTTTCCAAGTATTTCCAGTTCCCAGATAACCAAGATTTGCCCCAACCTGTGAATGAAGATAAACAACTTCAGTAACTTAAATAATTTACAACCAAAGTTGCTTATTCTTGGTCTATAAAATTTTAAAAGGTCAGAACTTGAGATAGACAATATTTGTACTTTCAAATAGTATTTTGGAAGTTAAAGTAGTATTTAACAATCCTGCTCTGACCTCCAAAGTGCTTGTATGGTAACTGTTAATAAAAAAAAAAAAAGATGTATGTAAAGTTTAAAGTATCTTCAAAGCTGTTAAAAAATTTTTATTGCATTATTGTTCACTCCAAATTATGGAGTATGAACTAGTCATTTAAACTTTTTCTTTTGTAAAATGACGCTCCCTACAAAATACTTTAAAAAAAATTAATACTGTCAATAGATTACTTATTTCATTTACTTCAGCCATGGAATTCAAAATCAGCAGTTTTCCATGTCTTGATTCTTCTAGATTTCTCCATCCTTTTTACATAGGAAACAACAAACTTTTATCAAAAGACATTTATATTCCAATAAGTCTGTTAATTTTGAAGATTAGCTTTTCAGAGTAGGACTATTATTCTTGTCTCCTTCTTTAATATCCTTCATTACAGATGCAAAGACCTGAAATTATACAGAGTAAAGATTAATCCTCAAAAAACTAGTATGTAGATTTAAGAGAATTAAATAACTATAGTATATCAACGCTTAAGTTTGAGACTGTCATTCTCAAATCCTTTTGTTTCAACCCAATTTTATGATATATATTTTAGTTTCCAGTTTTCATCACTTGTTAAATACAGGGTGGGGGAAAGGAGGCTTACAGTTGTTCATATGGAAAATAATACAGTAATTAATAAATAATAAAACAAGAATAAACTCTGTATTTTGTGTTTTCACAATTGTAAACATACTTTTGCCCCATCCTGTAGTCTTAAATTACTATTTAATAACAGAACATTTTCTGGACCAATATCCTTACATTTCATTTTCATAAGCAATAAAACTGAGCTTATTTATAATGCCTATTGTCTATCATTCATGGAGCAAATAATACTACTATCTTTTATGTTACTTAGACTGCCAATGGTAGCTTCCTAACAAGTCTAAGCATCTAAAAAGCCAGAATCATCCATTATTTTCTTTCTATTGCAAATCCTTAGTACACAACAGGTGCTTAATACAATTGCTGTCTATTTGAAATACAGAAATAATAATGCATTTGCTTTGGCAAAGACTATTGTAGGTTGTACTTCACTAAAATCATAAAATATTACTGAATTTACAGAAAAATAAATCCATAGATTTTGAGAGGTGAAAGAGAAGCAATCTGTTTTCAACTCTTGCTCTTTCAAAGTCAAGAATTATTTTTAAAAGATTTTTTTTTAATTTAAGCACTAACATTTGAGAAATACATAATTGTTTTTTTGGTTTTTTTTGTAAGAAGTCAACTGATTGTTTTAACACATCTTTTAGAAGTAGAAAAATGTCACTCTACCTGAGGCCATTTTTTGGTGCTATTCTGCATCTGAATCGCTGCAATACAGCTGAACAGCTTTTCTGATGTAATATCTTCTGGTAATTTAGTTAGAAACTGTGCTATATGAATAAAATCCATCTGCAGGAGAATATCTTCATATAATCGCAGGATCCCTAATCCAGTCCTAAATAAAAATTCTTCTCCATCTCTGCAAAATACATCCCAGACTCGACATGCCAGATCAAGTGGTAGTGATTTGCTATATAGGGTGAAGATCCTAAAATTAGGGGGAAAAATAGTCATTGAAAAATTTCATTTATTTATTCATTCACTCATTAGGCATCTCTATATTTAAAAAAACCCAGTGCTTAATTAGGGATAAAAAAAGGCAAATAAAATATGGCTTCTTCCCTCAAAGAGCTTGAGTAAAACAAAATTAAGTAATACATAAGTAGATTATGTGAATTTACAACCTTATGTAGAGACATGGCCCAATACACACTAGAGTGGCAGAACAGCCTAGCTGTTAAGGGTATGGCTCTGAAACCAGAATGCCTGAGTCTGAATCTTAGATATGCAACTTATTAGTTGTGTTACTTTGAGCAAGATTATTCTTGTTGTACCTGTTTCCTCATTAGTAAACAAAAGATAATACCTACATCTTAGGATTGTTTTTAAAAATAAAGGGGTTAACATATGTAAAGTGTTTTTAGAGCAGTGACTGGCACATAAGAAATACTCAATAAAAGTTAGTTGTTATTGTATGAGAAACCCAAGTATCATCTTTTAGTAACCTAAATACAAAACAAAATTATAAAGCCTTTCTTCTCTCTTTTCTCTTCTCCTTCCACAAACATCCACTGGTTATTTTTTTCCCCCTTAACCAAACTTCACTTACTACTTCTTTTGGAGCAATGTATACGCTCCAACAGAATCACCAAAATGGTTTTTTCACCTCCTTGCTGACAATGTCTGATCATGTAATTTATTGTCCAGTGGGTGGCATTCTGGTTGGGGAAGTAGGGAGAATAGGTGCTAGAGAACGACTCCTTAAAATTGCATTGGCAAAGAAAGTACACAGTTTTTACATAGACCGTGTTTTACAGGTTAGGACTGATGAAATTTGAGAAAGGGAACTAAAAACTCCAACAACAACAACAAAAAACAAACAACAACAAAAAACTTATTACCACTGCCACTTTTTTATTCCTATTTTTCCCACACAATTGATTCTAGGATTTGTATATAACAAATTCAAAAGAGGCAGTGAAACAAAAATCCATGTCTACTTCTTAAAGTAGAAACACATAGTGCCTAGGCAGTTTCTAATATGTGGTACTCGCTCATTATCAGTTCCATCCTGTTCCCTATATCAGTTGTGACCCTGATGTGCCTCATGTTCAGTCATCAAGACTGATAACTGAGTTATTTTTCCCCCCTTCTTTACAAATTTAATATTTGATCTTGGTCCTCTGGGTTCCATGACATAATCCAGAGGAACTCTAACATTCCTAGTGGGAATGAAAGAGAATACACTGAAAAATAACTTTAAAAAAAAGTCTAAATAAATATAGAAGCCCAAATAACTGGGAAGATGTCATATTTGCTCAATGCCACTAATTTCATTTTCTATATTAAAAATTCACATGAAACCCACTGATTTCAAACGATTAGGATTTAAGGTTTAAATGTTTCATATGTACTCTTAACATATCTTAAGATCAACTCTTCCATCTCTTTGGCAAAATTCACCTGCCATTCTATAATCAACTGGCTACTGCTCACCAAAGTCTTGGGCAAACCCTCTAAGTTAAAACAGAGAAGCTGGAATTGTAAAGTTGAAAAAAGACATTAGCACCTTAATAAGACATTATTCTTGTCAGAAAGCTGGACAAAGCCTTGAAAAAAAACAAAGCCCCCAGTTTTGAAAAAAAATACCACCCTATAATAACTATCACAAGCCCTTGTGTGTTAACAAGATATAGCAACTAGCGCTGAAAGCTTAGTATGAATTAGGTATTGCATGAGATAATCCATGTAAAACACCCTCACTACAACTCAAAATATATTATTCCCATTTTATAGGTAAGAAACTGAAACACAAACTGAGAGATTCTGATTTCAACCCGAGTCCATGCTCTTAATCAAATGCCTCCCCACAAATATGTGAGTTTCTTTATTTGTAAGAGAAGAGTTTTTTATATTCATGATCCTTTGCACGAGTTTACTTTAGTTCCTAAAACACACAAAAAGTTATTCTTTGTTTCCTTTTAATTATTATATTTCATGTTCATAAGTTATCACTTACCAGTCTATCAAGTATATGTCTGGTGTAAGACTATAAGATTTGAAATGAAGAAATAGTTTGGAGAGATTTTCTTCAAAAAATACTTCAAATGTTGCAAAATATTTCAACATCTAAAAATGGAAATATCAATAAAATTATTAAAGAGTAGGCTATAGAAAAAGAAATTAAATAAATCCTCAATTATAAATTAACTCTTGATTAGCACCTCTTTCTGAGTCTTTATCATGCATTCATAAAAATATACTTCAATGAAAAGTTTATATTACTTTTATTACATTTATTGAGGTAACACTGGTTAATAGGATCATATAGGTTTCAGATATAGGCTTCTATGTTACAAGATCTGTATGTTGCGCTGTGTGCTCACCACCCAAAGTCACATAATCTTCTATCACTATATATTAGGCCCCCATCAATCTCCTCTTCCCTCTGGCAACCACCCCAGTGCTGTCTGTGTCCACGAGTTTCAATTTTATATTTCACATGAGCAAATATCATATGGTTCTTAGTTTTTTCTGCCTGACTTATTTCACTCAGCATAAGAAAATCTTATTTTTAGATCAGATTAGTCTTCTATTGTTTTCACAATCTAAAAGGGCATTCAGTCCAGCTGGTGTGGTTGAGCATTGACCCAGGAACTAACAGACTGAGGTTCTATTCCTGGTCAGGGTACATGCCCAGGTTTTCGGGCTTGATCCCTAGAAAGGGGCGTGCAGGAGGCAGCCGATTGACGTTTCTATATCTCTATCCCTTTTTCTTCCTCTAGCTCTAAAAATCAATAAAAACACATTTAAAAGGGCATTCAGACTCTGAAACTGACAATCAACAAAAAACATGATTCATTCCCAATGTCCATACCATGCTGTGGTCCACACGGAAGAAGGCCAACTGGCATGGCTTATTCAGGAGATTTGCAAACGCAATGAAGGCATCTGCCTCTTCCAAATTGAGAATAAGAACTGCTGCTATGAAGGACATCCCTTGGACCTTCAAAGGGAAAGGAAATAAATCAAAATTGATTTATAATAATAATAATTCTATACTGTTTATTTTATTGCATTCTGAAAAATTACAAAGTAATTTTATAAGGTAAAATTAACTAAGATTTCTTTTTCCCCACAACAAACAAAGGTAAATACAGAGAACTCATTAATAATTATAAAATCTATTTAAAATTTTTTGACTATATGGTATGGTTTAAAAAGAAAAGCTTTCTGGCCTAGCTGGTTTGGCTCAGTGGATGGAGCGTCGGCCTGCAGACTGAAGGGTCCCGGGTTCAATTCCAGTCAAGGACACATGCCTGGGCTGTGGGCTTGATCCCCAGTAGGGGGTGTGCAGGAGCAGCAGATCAATGATTCTCTCTCATCATTTCTCTCAGATCAATCAACAAATTTTTAAAAAATGATTAGGTACTGCACACACACATACACACATTTAAAAATAAATTCTTTTGATCAAGTAAGTGTTATAGTAAAATATACCATTGGGCTTAGTCTTACTATAAACCAAGCAGTGATCTCTCTCTCGCTCTCACTCTCGCTCTCTCTCTCTCCCTTCCACTCTGAAATCAATAATATATACATATATATATAAATAAAAATAAAAATTTTGGAAAAAATATCAGCTTTTACTTGTTACAATAGCCTATCTCAGTGTTCTAGTTTATTTCATCTTCCTCTGAAGTCTTTCAAAATATAGAATCACAAAGTTTAATAAAAACGAGGTGATGGTCTTCATTGTTATAACACATCTGTCTGAGGCAGGAAGTGAGGAACTGAGAATCAAAGAGATTGCCCTGGTTGGTGTGGCTCAGTTGGCTGGACATCATTCAGGGCACTGAAAGGTTGACTGTTTGATTCCTGGTCAGGGCACATACCTGTGGCAGGAGGCAGCAAATCCATGTTTCCCTCTTATATCCATATTTCTCTCTCTTTTTCCCTCCCTTTCTCTCTCTCGAACTCAATAAAAATATTTTTTAAAAAGGAATAAAAGCAATCTATGAGAAGTGCCACTGAAATTCCAAGAAAGAGGTGTGGAGGTTGGGATAGTGAGGCTGGATTCCTGGAAAAGTAGTAGGAGGAAATAAGAGAAAAGCCATTCGGAAAAGAAAATGATGTATGAGTGAAGACATATAGAACCAGCTAGGTTGGAACACAAGACTTAAAATGGGAATAATGGGAGAAATTAGAAAAAGTAGGTTATATTTACAAATTGGAAAAGGCCTCGAGTAAAAGGCTAAGCTATCTTAGGTGCTTGTTTGAGAGTTATACAGAGCTATTTTACATTTCTGAGCAGCAAATGGCATGGAACTGCTATTGTAAAAATATTCATTCTTTCATTAAAAAAAAGTTTATCAAGTACTTACTTCTGGTAGAGATTTGTATAATAGACTTACACAGAGAGGCCCTTAAGAATATTTGCAATAATACCTCTGTCTATTTCAATCTTCTTAGCAACCTTTACATTTTTTAGCACATTTAAATCTGAATTCCCACTCCATTACTATACTATCTGAAACTTCTTTAACCAGGTTGACCAATGGTATTCATTGTAAAACCCAATGGGCACTGTCCTAACCGCTAAGCAGAATTCCTTTAGCTTCTGTGACCCATTATTTGTCCTCCTCTTATTTCTCTGGCTTCTTCTGTGACTGTTCAATTTGCCATGTTTAACCAGAATCTTCATAAAACTTTCATCTTCTCACCTTTGTCTTAAAGTAGAAGAATCTTAGAGACCTCACAAAAGGGTGACTACCTGGCACAATTTACTCTATTTTGTTGTAGGTTCATTTGTACATTTGTTCATTCATTCACTCATTCACTCAACAAATATTTATTAGGTGCTTATCACCATATTAGAGGCCTGGTACACGAATTTGTGCATGGTTGGGGTCTGGTGGCCTGCCCTGATTGGGCCGGGCTGGCTGGGGGGAGGGGCCTCGGGTGGTTG